TATCTATATGAAAACCATGGATTACAAAAGCATAATTTCAAGATGACTGTGCATATTTAACAAAACCAAAAAATAGAAACAAAAATACACGCTCTCTCGCTCATTCAACACAGACACACACACACACACGCACACACACGGACAGCTCCAAACACTCTATGACCCTAAACCTCACTCCCATCACTTGCACTGCGCTGAGGGCATCACTCTCTCTCCTCGACATACTTCCTCAGTATGTCTTTATCTCTTTAATTCTTCTGTTAATGTGTCAGAAATGTTAATATGTTAAATCCACCCCAATACACATTGATTTTAAAGTAGTTCTAAATTCATTCCAATATATTTTGCTTCCTCTTCTGTCTGTAATTGGGGTGAGAATCTCTATCATGGAATACGTTTTGTAAATTAGGTGGCAGAGAGTTTTCAGATTATAAAGATATTTTTACATACAGTATATTCTGTAAGGGAATAAATTGTTGTGCTCAAGGTTTGCATAGATTATAGGATCAAAACTATAACTACATTTACATGTTTAGACAAATGGAGTTTGTGTTACCTAAAAAAATAATGTAAAGAAAGTATAATACAAGTCTAAGAAATACATTATAATGGTGACAGAAATTAAGCTAAAGTGAACCAGCACAGATTAGGTCTGAGAATAATCTACATATATTTCATATACTGTACATGTATATGGTTTTATTAAAATAAAAGCACCACTATTTATGTATTGCTTTGGGGACTGCCAAACAAGTTTATGGCCTGATTAAGTAATCCCTCAAATAGCCTGAGGATTATGTATCATTACCAATAAGCTCCAATCTTCAGTTTCTATTTATGTGAAAGTTTACCAGAGGAAGTCACAGAGCGCGCTGCCATAATGAGCCCTCTCATGGGGATAGCCTGCACAGTCTATGGCATATTTACAGTACAAAGGCTGTGCTCGGGTCCCCTCCACACACATACAAACACAAAAGAGTGGCTGATTTAATTAGCTCAATCATTAAATGAGGCTTAATTAGAGTCACTTTCCTATAGAGAGAAGTGTACGACTCAGAGCTGTTCCTTGTCATCACAAAGGCATAATGAGCCAGCGCCAGAAAACTTTAGCACTCCACAGCCTTTGATATGTTTAATTCTGTGGGTTAATGAAGTAATCCCTGAGGAGGAGACTACAGGGCCAGAGCACTTGACAAGGAGCGACATGAATAGTAAAGTATGTTATTTAAAGATAAATGATGCCATTTACCTTCATCGCAACGTGCCGCAGCAAACATCCCTAAAGTTCGATAAAGGCTTCCAATTACAGGAATTATTACAGGGCTGCACACCCTATAAACAGCTTTGATGTGGAGAGCAGATCCACTCCTGATTGGTCCGACTGTCTCTGCCACTGTCCTAATCTTCACCTGCTTGTTATGGTCGGGAGGCTGATAAGAAGTGATGCCTGGACGTCTCCCTTGAGCGTCATTCGGAGGTAAATAGTAGCAGGCCCCGAGCGCCACCCCATACCAGTAAACCAAAGCACTGTCCTCTCATAAAGAAATCAACAGAGTCAATGACTTTTTAAATGTTATTATGCTGTCATGAGGCTCGGGACGGCAGTGTGTGTGGATAAAATGAGTGTGAAAAATGATCTGGAGGGATGCAGCGTGCTTGAGTGCGCGAGCTCACACATGCATCCACAGGCTGCTGCTGTTCATTATTGGGCAGCAGCAGAAGCCAGTCATTTCCCTGTCTTCATAAAGACTCAGCCCATTAAATTCTACCTCCAGTCAATAATTAGGACTCCACAAATAAACCAAAGGCAATTAAATCAATGCTTCCCCGGGCTGGTGCCTGAACCCCCTGGCCCACACTGACACTCCATCTTCAGCACGGGCCTTATTCATGGAGGTAGCGGTGGAGCCATCCAGCACACCCCCTGGCCTGCGAATCATTATTACACCGGCCTGTCCCATGGTCCTGGCTGTGGAGTGCCGCCTATGGTGGCTCTCTACTGAGAGGAGTACGGTTTGATTTCATTAACTCACCAGTGCAGAGGGGAGACTAGGAAATGAATGCTATGTTTCATTTGCTTTTGAGTGGACGAGTGGGGAGTCTGTGAGGGGGGCTTACAAAATCTATGCCACTTCTGGAACATTAAGGGAGCATCCAGTACTTCAAATGCAAATATTTAATCCACAATTCACCAGCCTGTCTGGGACCAACAACCCAACTGTAGTCAAAGTTACTTAAAAAGATCTTTCTTTGTAAACTTTATTAATTGTATTGCTTTTGAGGAACACATGAGATTGTGTTAATATACTGAATAGTTTTACCTGGTTAGAACTTTGGACATCCTTCAGTCTGTCCCTATCTTGGTTAATAAGGCATCAGGACATCACACCCGTCCTTTATAGAAGGGTGGGCCAATGAGCCTTCTCCCTCTCGTTATGTTGACGTGTGGCAGTGCATGACAGTGATGGCAAACAAACTGTCCAAACAGAGATCAGAACGCACACCCTTGCTTCGCTCACAGCCACATCTGCGCTACAGCGGAGTGACTGATGGCTTCAGTATTGACAGGGCCACTGTGATAATAAAGTCTTGTCCCACTGGCGGCTCCATTAGGCCCTGACAGTGACAAGACGAGGCTGCGCTGAGAGTTCACACACGCACAAGTGCCATCCTCCGGCGGTGACAGCTCGCACCAGTTAAGGACACGGATCTCTCTCTCATCCTTCCTTCCGCTACGTCTATTTCTGTCCGTGTCTTTTTATCGGCGCAGAAGTGTGTGAAGATCATATAACTATTAGGGTAGTGTGTTATTAGTGTCACAGTGAGGGTGACAGGCCGGGCACTTCACACATGTTCTGCTCGCTGAGCCCTTCATAAACTCCGACATGAAAAAGAGACTGGAGATGCTCTATGCTTCAGTCTTACTATAGAAAAAGCTGTAGGGTACAGTCGGATGTATACACAGAAATACTGATATTTGTAACAGTACCTCAAAGTACGCACGCGTTTCATGGATTCTCTTTTAGATTTAAAGATTAACTGGAAGCACACAACGCATAGCGAGCTACAAACAAAAACAAATCAACAAACAGCTGAGTTTAACTATATTCCTGTAGGGACATTAGTCTTTATTGTATAACAACTATTACAGTAAAGAAACAGACTACTATGGATAGACATGTCATGTGAAAAATGTGTTTGTTTGTGAGAAGTTGACGCGCACACACACAAACCAACAATAGGAAATGTGCAAACTATGGAATTCGGATCTTGATTTCAATTTACTGCTTATATCTCATAAACAATTTGTGATTAACAGTAATCTGCCATGCCAAAATCATAGAAAGCATTGTGTCCTTGGAGCCAGTATACAGTATGATTTTTAGAAACAGCAGGTGCAGAAAGAAGAGAGCCGGATTAGAGCTAAATAAATAAAGAAAAAAACTGCAGACGATGGACTTGAAAGGGTTAGAAAAAGTGTGTGCGAGTGCAGTGGGGATGACTGCACTGTCCCTGGGGGAGAGTCTCAGCCTTGTCATACCCTGCCCCCCTCCACCACACACCCCCCTACAGCCGCTGCACACTGTACCCCCCCCTCTGCCCCGCCGCACCCCGTTCTGCCCACGGAAAACGTCGATAGCAGGCTGCCGGGGCCGAGGTCTCTGGTGGACACTAGCTCATTCTCCCGGCATCGACAGGCCCGCCAAATCAATATTTAGTTCCCCACTAACAAGCTGCCTCGGGGTCTGAGCTGGAGAGACAGAGAGAGAGGCAGAGCGGGTGGCGGGACAGCTGAGAGATGGCAGGGAGAGAGACGGGGAGAGCAGGGACTGAGAGCTGTCCGGCTAGAAGGGAAAAACATGGATGGTATCTTGCGTGTGTGTGTGTATTCGTGTGCAGCGGCGTGGTGGTAGTGGGCGGGGAGGGTAAGGTGCAAAGGTCAGGAGAAGATCTGGGGAACAAGAGAACAGAGCCCGGCATGTCGTGGTGCGGAGGCGACGCATGAGTGCCCGTGGCTGGCGAGGATTGCCGACGCGCACGCGGTCGCACACTCTCAGAACGCGCTGGCTGACAGCACTCCAGTCAGGCTCAAAACATTGACTTAAACACTTTGTTTTATATACGCCTCTCTATTTGCGGCTTTGCGCTTGGAACTAAATCAGAGTCTTCTATGTGTTTTTGTGCAAATGCAACTGGTAGCAGATCTGCGTGCCCCGAGAGACACGAGAACTCCAGGCAGAAAGGCATGACAAAAAGTATGGGTCCTCGAGTCACAGTGTCAAGGCAAAAACAATGTTGAATCAGGCAGAATTCTAACATTGCTTGACGTGGAAGGAGTGAAAAGCAGTGAAAATATTATTGTTTCAATATTCAAGGTCAATTATAGCAGCTCAATTTGAGTACTGGTGCATGCTATACTTCTACACATTAAGAATGGGGTTCTGATCCATTGTTTACCTGTGCATAATTATATAATTTACTAACACTAACTTTAAATTGTTAACTTAAACAGCATGGTTCATTTGTATTTATTAAAACATTAATATTTCCATTAGAGAATACAAAAAACTGGAAATTTTTAAGTCCTTCAGGAGCAACAAAATGTCCTCTTTTCATTTGTAAAAAGGAAACGCAGTAAAACACAAATCAATCAAACTTTGGACGCTGAAAATGGGAAACAGACATTACGAACATGATTTTTTTTTTTAAGTTGAGGGACTTAATTGAGGGAAGAAGTGGTTGTTGTGCAACTCTAAAAAGGGTGAAAATCAATGGTTTGAACATGGTTTGTACATCTAATTCTCCAAAAAAATCAACACCTACTGTAGTATGTTTATGATCAAACATTTTCATATTATTTTTCAATGGAGCATCTTAACAACTGAGGACAAAAGCAAACCTTATCTGCAGCCAGTTACATTTCAATTTAATTTCAAACTTCTTTTTACATGAATCATTAACACAAAGCAAGACGATGTAAGATGCTTAATTCAACTAACCTTCTGTTGAAGTATGTGATGCAAGTGATCCATCCACTGCTGATCTCCAAGACACACTGGATACTCAGCAGTTTCCTATAATGGCACACCAAATACTAAATGACTAGAAAGCAGGAAAAAAAATATAAAGCATAATTTATACAACACATTTCATATTCAAGTAGAAACAATTATGGATAAATGGTTGTGATTTGTGTAAAGAACAAAGTCACGAAAAGGCTTCTTTCAACAGTGGGAAAGGTCAGCATGTTGTTTGGACCGGTGTTGGCTTTTCAGCTCAGGAAAGAGCACCCAGGACAGCAAGCAAACCAAATGGAGCAATAAAAACACATTTTTTTCAGGAGAACTAAAGGACAACTTCATAAAGGAAAGGGCAGTGCATGCAAATGTACATATTTTGATGGCCAGAACTTCTCTCTTGGCATACTTTTGAATGTGCAGGAAACTGAAGCTAGTCTTAAGTAGCTATGAAACAGGTGTAGTTTTGTGCTCTCCAATTTTCTTTTTTTTGTCTAGCGGTAATTGTTACTGCCATACAGTGTTCATTGTTGTACACTGATCCAGACCAGAGCAGAGAAGATTCACGGTCCAAATCAAGCAGATCAAGTGGAAATCCACTGGAGGAATGCGGCTACTCCACTTCTGCTACTGTGACCTGTCCTGCTCCTCCCTGTGGCTACACCACCTCTGCTGTTGTGACCCTTCCTTCTCCACCCAGCGGCTACACCACTTCTGCTGTTGTGACCCTTCTTGCTCCATCCAGCGGCTACAGCACCTCTGTTGCTGTGACCTTATTACAATTATTAGCTACTTTTAGAATTATGTATTCATTTGTTTTGTTGGTATGGTTGGATGTGTTTCTGCTGCTACTGGACACCTGAATTTCTTCTAGGGGATCAATAAAGTATCTATCTATCTATCTAACATAACAAGCCATTTAACAAGTAATTGTGTCACCACTCATGTGAAGTTTTATAACCTTCACCTGACCCACATTAAGACTAAGTTTGGCTCAGTGTGTAGGGAAAGGGCACCCAAATTGCTGTGTTTTTGTGCAGTGCAAATGAGGCGGAAAAACATAACATGTTTCATCTTCTATATGATCAAATATGTCTGTGGCTCATTATTACATATTTAGTACATGTTAAATTTTCCATGCATCCATTTTCTTCCGTTTCATCCGTTGCCGGGTTGCAGGGACAGCAGTCTAAGCAGAGGCGCCCAGACTTCCCTATCCACACACATTTCCTGCAGCTCATTCGGGGGACCCAGGCCAGCTAAGAGACATAGTCCCTCCAGCGTGTCCTGGGTCTTCCCCCGGAACACCTTCGTAATGAGATTCATCAGCTGATTGGCTGGGTGCTCCTTAGAGATAGGGTGAGGAAATCAATCACACGGGAGAAGCTCGGAGTAGAGCCGCTGCTTCTCCACGTCGAGAGGAACCAGTTGAGGTGGTTCGGGCACCATAGTGTTTGCTTAATGTAGAAGAGGCCGATAAACGGCCGAGTTACCAAGCTCCAATCAGGAGTGCCGCTGGTTTGTTAGCGATTGCGCTACTTCCTTGCTACAGCTGATTTCTGCAACAGAAGGCTACTGATTGGTCAATTGTTAGGATTCATATATGGATTTTGAAAGATGATATCACAATATTAAAGAGACCTAATGATAGATTTGTAAATCAGAAAATGGTGAGAGTGACACAAATGGTTACTGAGCTAGAGGAGTTTCACTAAGAGCTCGATCAAGTCAGAGCAAAACCTCACCCATGAGTACTTGCCTATTGGGCTTCATTGAGCTAGAGGGTTAGCATTGTGCATATAGATACAGTCTCTGGTTTGAGCTTAGTCCCTTTACAGAGTGGTCACATTAAAGGCTCCGCTCCACCGCATATCGAGTAAGTGTACAAACATTTAAATGGCTGCGTTGCATGGATTAAGAAAAGATAACCATGAACAAAGTGTGCGTAAACCGTGGGTCTGTGACAGTGGTCTTATTAGGTTTAACAGAATATTAATTCCCCCAAAAAAACAGCTTTAAGCGTGTAATTGAAGATGCATAACAACATGCTACGTTCCCTTTAAACACACTACACAGTGTTTCTAGAACTACGATCGTATTAGTGCACATTGTTGACTTGTGCAAAAGTAAACTATGGAAAGTGGAAGATTCAATTTATGCTTGCTCCTTTGCACATGCCACAGTGTTTGCCCGCTCTCTCCAGGTCTCTTGCTGGAGGGCTGAATTGCAGTGCGGCGGGCAGGACCTTGAAGGAGCCCTCGAGAGACCAGTGGCACGGTCCGCACGCATACACTTGCATGCTACTTATGTATAAAGAGCTAGTGGAGTGGTATCCTTGTTAGTGCTAACTAGAAACTTGCAATGGCTGAAGCCATTGCGATTGACTGCGGAACAGATCTAATGTGGAATTTAGCTGAAAAATCCTTGAAATCCTTGAAACTGTTAAAATACTTTAAACATCTTTGAAACTCCTGAAGTATTTGAAGCTCCTGATATCCTTTAAACTGTTATCCTTTATACTGGTTTACATGTAAAAACCCCTATTAAGTTGCATTATACTGGTTTACATGGAAAAAACCCTATTAAGTTGCATTATACTGGTTTACATGGAAAAATCCCTATTAAGTTGCATTATACTGGTTTACATGTAAAAATCCCTATTAAGTTGCATTATACTGGTTTACATGGAAAAATCCCTATTAAGTTGCATTGTACTGGTTTACATGGAAAAATCCCTATTAAGTTGCATTATACTGGTTTACATGAAAAAAACCCTATTAAGTTGCATTATACTGGTTTACATGTAAAAACCCCTATTAAGTTGCATTATACTGGTTTACATGGAAAAATCCCTATTAAGTTGCATTATACTGGTTTACATGGAAAAATCCCTATTAAGTTGCATTATACTGGTTTACATGGAAAAATCCCTATTAAGTTGCATTATACTGGTTTACATGGAAAAATCCCTATTAAGTTGCATTATACTGGTTTACATGGAAAAATCCCTATTAAGTTGCATTATACTGGTTTACATGGAAAAATCCCTATTAGGTTGCATTATACTGGTTTACATGTACAAATCCCTATTAAGTTGCTTTATACTGGTTTACATGTAAAAACCCCTATTAGGTTACATTATAGTGGTTTACATGTAAAAATCCTTATTAAGTTGCATTATACTGGTTTACATGTAAAAACCCCTATTAAGTTCCATTATACTGGTTTACATGTAAAAACCCCTATTAAGTTCCATTATACTGGTTTACATGTAAAAACCCTATTAAGTTGCATTATACTGGTTTACATGAAAAAAACCCTATTAAGTTGCATTATACTGGTTTACATGGAAAAATCCCTATTAAGTTGCATAATACTGGTTTACATGGAAAAATCCCCATTAAGTTGCATTATACTGGTTTACATGGAAAAATCCCTATTAAGTTGCATTATACTGGTTTACATGGAAAAATCCCTATTAAGTTGCATTGTACTGGTTTACATGGAAAAATCCCCATTAAGTTGCATTATACTGGTTTACATGGAAAAATCCCTATTAAGTTGCATTATACTGGTTTACATGGAAAAATCCCTATTAAGTTGCATTATACTGGTTTACATGGAAAAAACCCTATTAAGTTGCATTATACTGGTTTACATGGAAAAAACCCTATTAAGTTGCATTATACTGGTTTACATGTAAAAACCCCTATTAAGTTGCATTATACTGGTTTACATGGAAAAATCCCCATTAAGTTGCATTATACTGGTTTACATGAAAAAAAACCCTATTAAGTTGCATTATACTGGTTTACATGAAAAAACCCTATTAAGTTGCATTATACTGGTTTACATGGAAAAATCCCTATTAAGTTGCATTATACTGGTTTACATGGAAAAATCCCTATTAGGTTGCATGATTACACTGAAGTCCTTGAAACTGCTGAAGTCCTTGAAACTGCTGAAGTCCTTGAAACTGCTGAAGTCCTTGAAACTGTTGAAGTCCTTGAAACTCTTGAAATCTTGAAACTGCTGAAATCCTTGAAACTGTTGAATCCTTGAAACTGTTGAATCATTGAAACTGTAGAAATGTCTGAAAGAGCTGAAGTCCTATTAAAATGCATGGGCCTATTAAAATGCATTGCAGAATTCTCAATGCAGATTTTTGTCCGATTGCGGAAAAACCGGAAATCGCTGAAGTCCCAAAAGTAATAGCAATAATCTCCCAAACATGTGGAACGTTTTGATGTATAACTTGTGGAAATTGTTGAAAATGTGAAAGCTGTGAAACGTGTCAAAAAAAATGACGGAATAAAGAAATACAAAACCAATGGTTGACTGCGGAAGGTTCCGCAGTCAATCAATGAACAGAGCTTGGCCGTGTACACCTCTGAATGAATGTGCTACCTCTTCACTTGGAACCCCTGGTGCTGCCGTTTGAAATACAGCAATAGACCTTGTACCACATCACAGGGACAGTGGGGGAGCAGTTCCACTTTGCTGACTGCTGGATAGTTATTTTGTAAAGTCCACGGTCAGCAAGGCTCACGCAATATGAATTGGAACCTTTGAATAGTTTTTAAGGATCAATGCTGGTCAGATCATCACGATTCATTCTCGGTAAAAGAGTTGTGTGACATACTTTAAAAAGACTGTTCTAGAACAAAGCCTTATTAATTAAACTGAGAAAATCCAACAATTTATGCTGTTTCTGTACTCGAGCTCATTCTTCAGCAGTTCAATTATTGGTATGACTACATATTTATCATTTGAATCGAGGGCAACTAAGGATCATTTTGATATTGGATTATTCTGAGGAACGATTATCCTTTTCGAATTTTTTTTATAAATAACCCAAAAAGTCAGTAAATATTGGATTTTTTATGCATTTGATCAAAACAAAGCTCAAGTGAAGCCCCTGGAGAACAACCTAAAAGAGCTGAACAGAAAATGCCAATTCCGCGTTCCACTCTCCCTGTTGTGACAAAGCAAAGAAAATGAAGAAAATGCTGGATGTTTGGTTTGGTGGAGAGGCGAGGGGAGGGGGGGATGGTTTCGAGTTGGTGCTACGGCTAAGCTAACAAAAATGCATCTTTAAATATGATGGATAAATAGTATGAAATCAATACCGTATTTATCAGACAAAAAGTCTGATAAATACGGTATAAATTGCAACCCCAGCCAAGGTATGGAAAAAGTGCAACTTAAGTCATGTCCTCTAATTACTGAACGTTAGATTACAATCCAAAATCCATCTAGATTTAATTCACCATTTTCTATTGCATTTTACATTTTCAGTGTGTGACCAGTAAAAAGTCCAGTATTGATGCTGCGTGCTCAACACAGTAGTTGTTTAGTGTAATAGTGAAGAAGGGTCTCTGTGACGGCGGGGCCCTGAAGCTTCCCACAAGGCCAAACAGTAAGAGGATAACTGTGCTTGTCCACCCCTGATAGATATATAACAGCACTCTGACTCCATCTCACATTAGAAGCAAAACAAACTGGCCTGGCAATTATAGTCTTATTACATCTGGATCATTAACTCCACAACAAGATGCCCAGGGAGGCTGTGCTGGCCAACCCTCAGCGCTGCTCGGCTCCAAACTGTGGAAGAAGCAGGGAAATAAAACTGCAGCAACGCAGCACTGTAGAACACATGTGGATATTAGATATTTTTTTATTTATTTTTAAGAATAATAGCCCTTAAATAAATAAAGTATTTTTAAAAACTTATTTAGAAGATATTGACGCACTGACATGGCTGCATGTACTGTATATCTAGTCTGTCTATATATATCTCTAGTCTATATATATCTAGTCCATCTGTTTTTCTGCCTTCTTATTAATTTATCAGTACTATTTGCATTAATGGGCATCAGTCATAAAAATAAGCAAATAAGTTTTAAAATATTAACACTGAAATGTAATATTCTGAAATCCAAACCCATGAATAAGAAAGAAAAAAGAAAGAAAAAAGTCAAAACTGAGGGAAAGTTGCTGGCAATGAACTTCTCTCATTTAAAAGTACAAGTAAAAACGAGCGCATCCCTGTGAGCCCTGGGCTCCACTCTGTACACTGGTATTGTACAAGCAAGTGAATACATGAATACTGCGGCTATGTGTTCGGAGATGTCTGCACAAGTGCACAGTGTCCTCAGGTTCAAAGAAATCAAAACACCTCCACGGGGAATGAAAGCTACTTTACATCTTTGCTTATAGTTAGCTCAAAACTTAAAAGTTAGATATTACCTTCCACTCATTCCATAGTTTGGTTTCATTTGAATCTTTTAAATGCTATTTTAATTATATTTACCTTATTAGTAACTCTAGTCTAGTTTTATTCAAGAATCAACTTCAACATTAACTTCTCAATAAACAGTCCAACATAATGTGTGCTATGTGTGATGGGATTGCTAGCCTCAATCAGCGCAGTCACATCATTTAATCGTGAAATATAATTGTAATGTCATGTAAAGACAAGACAATGACCAGATTTAATGATATAACTGTTAGTTTTGAAATCTATTAAGATATCTTCCAGTGAGTTCAGCTTTATCTTGTTCAAATTGATATTACATTATATATGTGTTGTATTGAATTGATTAATCAAAAGAATATTTTCCATGTTTAATCAATTATAAAAGTAATCATATGTTAGATCCCAAAGTGGGGTGCTTGTGTTAAAAATGTTGTAATTCAAAGACACACGTCTTCGTGCTGTGAACATGTGATGACGAATTCCAACTACTCAGAAGACCCATCAGCTCGGACTGAGGCCACCTTTTATTACCCATAATCCACTGGGGGAAACGTGCGGTACCGGGCGAAGAGTGATTTAACCTACCAATATTTCAGCTTTCATGAAGGCGACTTTTTGTCAATTGACAAAGTGTGGCCTGTCATGTCCTGGGTGGGGCTGCTCCGCTAACGGCTCAAATTGGTTTCAAGTGTGAGTAAGTGCCCGCTGGACCTCTCTCATCTGGTGATAGATAGAGGAAGTCCCCAGGGGAGCGAGGAAGATTGTAACGTGGGGTTGCTAATTGAGAACACAGATAGGTATGATCTATAGAGGAGGGAAGGCCCACCAAGTCGGAAAAGAAAGTAAAAAAAGTCATTTCAACAACTGTTTCCAATTGAAACTTGATATTCATTTATATTTTTTGACCACAAGGAGAAGCTTCAACTATTATTTATTTGAGCGATGTTGGTTTAAGTCTGCAACTGGTGTTCTGTGAAGCTCTGTTAAAGTTGTATTCAACCAATGTTTCAGTATCATTTGAAAAAAAATCAAACGGTAAGAACATGCATTATTACATATTGTACATATCATTTATTTGTTGCATTTATACAACAAATACTTATACTTTTTGCACTAATTACACTACAAAAGGTCAACAACATCCTTAAAGTTGGGGCAGATAACTTATTACTTCATACATAATAAATTTTCCCTACAGAAAATTGTAAACAAGACAGACCACAACATGGTCTTTATCTTATTGTAACACATGGTATCTTTTGCACACAAAAATACATGCATGAAAACTACTGATCGAACCTTTTTTGAGAGCAATAAAAAAGTTAGAGGGAATAGATTACTAGTTATTTCTAAGTTAAGTGCCCCAACTTCAAATAAAGTATTGCCTCTGAGGCACCATTGGGATCACAGCTATACTCAAATGTATCAGTAAGGCTACAGAGGACCTGGCAGCTAGACATGATCAAGCTGCCAATGTCTACTTTATATAGTCATCAATCCCAGAAGGTCAGCGAAATCTGGAAAGGGTCAAAAACATTGTTAGCTACAGGTAAGATGCACAGAAGTAACGGTCTTATATTGGGGTGGGCCAACCCCCTGATTCCACATGAAATGCAAAAGTTTTTCCGACTCTATTCCACGTCACTCATTTTGTCTCAATTGACAAAAGCTGAGGCCTAGAGCAGATATGGATTTAATAATGTCTTTGCCATTACTCCAGTGTAATTACTAAGTAAAACCGTCTGAAACTTTGGGGTAAATTTTTACAGTTGTACAAATCTATTACAGGTACGCGAAGAGCTGTGGGCATAATCTTCACGCGTTATAGATTGGTAAAGTTGGAGTTGGGTCCCATGGCCTTACCTGATCACTGTCCATTATGTCTGCTAGATCGTTCTCAGAGATATTGAGGATGGAGGCTGCGATACTCTTGGCTTTGATCATACTCTGGGCTGATAGGCCGCCCTTTGCTGCCACAGCGCTGGTCTGCCTCTGCCTCCTTTTCTTCATCAGCTGCTGCTTGACCTCACTGACGTCTGAAAGTATTTCACTGGCCAGGGCCTGCAGGAAGAAGAAATATATAAAAAAAATAAAATAAAAAAAAGTGAGAGATGAGGATGATGAAATGGATATAGAAAAACAAGAGGGATAGCGCTTGCCTGGCAGATGAATAAATGAAATTGATCAAGCATGCGCCAGAGAGCCCTGGTACATTATGGAGGAATATTGAGTTTGACACACAAACTCTCCTCGGCTTCACCCCGCGCTCCCTTGTAGGATCGTGGACCCGAGGGTTTGTTGGCCTGTCGATTGAGAGCTGAAGGGAACGCCGCTTTGATATCAAACGCACCCTGAGTTTTGCTTAAGAAAATCTCCACAGACCGGCAGAATTGCGCATCAGAGAGAGCGAGACCCGTGAAATACTCACCATTCACTTATTTATTTGGTTTTGAGAATGTCTTGACAAAGTACAAGGGCACCATAACACAGTTAATATTTCAGTGACGAGGGGGCATTCCAAAATGGTGCCCAAGTGATTCCTGGCATCCCAAGCCATCACCGGTCCGGCGTGGTTGACTACCGCTAAATAGGACCTTGGGCTAAATGCTAGAGAGACAATTAAATGTTAAAGCTGCCACTGTACACGGGAAAGTCAATAAAATGAACTCCCCTTTGCTTCATTTTGAGCTTATTGATCGAGGCAATAATCTTCTGTATCATTCCCTTGTAAGCTGGCTGAAAAGCTGACCTTGGAAAAGACGGTCAGATGAGGGAAACCGAAGAATGGGCAGTAAACAAAAGTAAATATAAAAGAGAAGGCTGAGGCTAACTAGCTCTTGGACAGAATGTAATTGAGCATGCAATAAGTACACAATGTGCGAAGACAGATGGAAAAGACTCCAGAGCATTACAATAATGATAACATCTCTTCTGTAATTTCATACAGGTGCAGAGCCTGTGGTGGTCCTCACTGGAGCAAGCAGAGAGAGCACTTCAAATCGTATGCAATCAAATAAGACTCGCTGGTCTTCACTTTTATAGTAACCCGCATTTGTAAGTAAGTATATGGTTAATACAAGTTACTGTAATCTGGCAGTGATGCTATGCAGGGTGTCCAGTTCAATCCAGGTCTGCTCCAAAGCAAGGCAAGTACTAGCACAGTTCATACACAAGGCAACTCAATGAGCTTTACTAAGGCTATATCCACACGAAGACAAAACGCTTATAATTTCAGAAACTTTTCTGTAAACACGGGGTTAGCTCAGTAAATGTGTGCGTCCATATGAATGTAGTCAATACGCCTGAAAACGCTGTGAAACTATGCCAGACCTGTTGGTGGCGCTGTGACGCAATGACGGGATCAAGCCCAAACTTCCGTGGGCATGCGCGGAATTTTGTAAACAGACAACATGGCGAGTGGGCGAGCTGGTACAACATTAGTATGGACGGACGATGAGGTTGAACTGTTGCTTCGGGTCACACTGGATTACAAAACCAACAAGCTACATTGTTGTTGTCATTATTTTCTGAGTGCGGCGCATGCGTGCTTTAACAAGAGGCGGGGCGATGACGCAAGCGTCTCAGATACATTGCGAAGAGGCAGTAACCACGGAGCGGCATATACGGAGTTTTGAAATCTTTCCACTCTGGGACCTAGTTTCAAAAATGTTCGTTTACACCCCCCCAAAACGCCGGCCTCGTATGGACGATACACTGGATTGATAAAGTATATTTGCGTTTAGGCCTGAGCTTGACTTCGTGTGGACAGGGCCTAAAATTAAAACTATTAGGAGTTAAATTAGCCACACTGTATATTAGTTTAATACCGAAGCTAGAACATGTAATGAACGGTAGGAGTTAACAAGTTTATACTCCTTCCGATTCCTTTTTGAGCACAAGTCATAGTGTAATATTGTATTGAAACCTGCATGCTACTCATTGCTCAAAGAACATTGTCCCTCCCTGAATTTAACACAGATTATCTATGTCTGCGGAACAATGTTGAGAAGAGATAGATATGTCTAAATGACTTTGGGACTTTTTGTGCATCTGTGTGCAGGTACACAAACATGACAACATAAAGCACAATTTCAAGTACACACTCTTCAGATTGAGTTTATTTACCATTTGCAGTAAAAAAAAAAAACCTCCAAAATACTCAGTGCGCACAAGAGACAACAAAACAAGACAAAACAGAAAAAACACTATAGAATATTTAAAAACAAGCACATTCTAAAAAACTCCCCCTTGGACTGCCACCTTAACGTGGTGGGGGAGTTTGAGCACTCGGATGATCCTGGGAGCTATGCTGTCTGGGGCTTCATGCCCCTGGTAGGGCCTCCCATGGCAGACAGGTCTCAAGTGACGAGTCAGACGAAGCGCAGTCCGAAGCCAACCATGGACAGCACGACAACAAAAACCGTGACGTCGCCCGGCATGGCGCAGCCGGGGCCCCACCCTGGAGCCAGGCCTGGGGTCGGGGCTCGCAAGCGAGCGCCTGGTGGCCGGGCCTTAGCCCACGGGGCCCGGCCGGGCTCAGCCCGAAGGGATGACGTGGGCAGTCCCTCCTGTGGGCCCACCACCTGCAGAGGGGTCCGTGGTGGCGTGGTGCAGCGAGGACTGGGCAGCGGTCGAAGGCGGAGACCTCGACGACCCAGTCCGCACACACAACATCTGGCTGTTGGGACGTGGAACGTCACCTCACTGGGGGGGAAGGAGCCCGAGCTTGTGGGGGAGGTTGAGCGATACCGACTAGAGATAGTCGGCCTCACCTCCACACACAGCTTGGACTCTGGAACCCAACTCCTTGAGAGGGGTTGGACGCTCCACTTTTCTGGTGTTTCCCGCGGGGAGAGGCGGCGAGCTGGGGTGGCCATACTCATTGCCCCCCATCTCAGCCGCCACGTGTTGGAGTACTCCCCGGTGAATGAGAGGGTCGCGTCCCTCCGCCTCCGGGTGGGGGACAAGTCTCTCACTGTTGTGAGACGGTAGTGCAGAGTACCCGGCCTTCTTGGAGTCCTTGGGAGGGGTACTGGACAGTGCACCGCCCGGGGACTCCGTTATTCTCCTAGGGGACTTCAACGCCCATGTGGGAAATGCCAGTGACACTTGGAGAGGGGTGATCGGGAAGAGCGGCCCCCCTGATCTGAACCCGAGTGGTGTTCAGTTGTTGGACTTCTGTGCCAGTCACGGCCTGTCCATCACGAACACCATGTTCGAGCACAAGGGTGTCCACCAGTGCACGTGGCACCAGGACACCCTAGGCCGGAGGTCGATGATCGACTTTGTGGTCGTATCATCTGACCTTCGACCGCGTGTCTCGGACACTCGGGTAAAGAGAGGGGCGGAGCTGTCAACCGATCATCACCTGGTCGTGAGTTGGATCCGCTGGCAGGGGAAGAAGCCGGTCAGACCTGGCAGACCCAAGCGTATAGTGAGGGTTTGCTGGGAACGTCTCGCGGAGCCCCCTGTCAGACGGACTTTCAACTCACACCTCCGGGAGAGCTTCTCCCAGGTCCCGGCGGAGGAGGGGGACATCGAGTCCGAGTGGACCATGTTCTCTTCCTCTATCGCCAATGCGGCGGCTCGTAGCTGTGGTCGCAAGGTCTCTGGTGCTGGTCCCGGCGGCAATCCCCGAACCAGGTGGTGGACACCGGCAGTAAGGGATGCCGTCAGGCTGAAGAAGGAGTCCTATCGAGCAATGATGGTTCGTGGGACTCCTGAGGCAGCTGTCCAGTACCGGCAGGCCAAACGTGCCGCGGCCCGCGCTGTTGCAGAGGCAAAAACCCGGGACTGGGAGGAGTTCGGAGAGTCCATGGAGCATGACTATCGGTCGGCCTCGAAGAGGTTCTGGCAAACCGTCCGGCGCCTCAGGAGGGGGAAGCAGTTCTTTGCCAACACCGTGTATGGTGCGGGTGGAGGGCTGCTGACCTCGACTGAGGATATTGTCGGGCGGTGGAAGGAATACTTCGAGGCTTGTGCTTTGTGGATTTGGAGAAGGCGTTCGACCGTGTTCCCCGGGGTGTCCTTTGGGGGGTCCTCCGGGAGTACGGGGTCCGGGGTCCTCTGCTGAGGGCCGTCTGGTCCCTGTATGACCGGAGCCAGAGCTGTGTTCGCATTGCCGGCAGTAAGTCAGACCTGTTCCCGGTGCATGTTGGCCTCCGCCAAGGCTGCCCTTTGTCACCGGTTCTGTTCACTGTATTTATGGACAGAATTTCTAGGCGCAGCCAGGGGCCGGAGGGGGTCCGGTTCGGGAACCACAGGATTTCATCTCTACTTTTTGCGGATGATGTCGTCCTGTTGGCTCCAACGAACCAGGACCTGCAGCATGCACTGGGACGGTTTGCAGCCGAGTGCGAAGCGGCTGGGATGAGAATCAGCACCTCCAAATCCGAGGCCATGGTGCTCGACCGGAAAAAGGTGCCTTGCCCTCTCCAGGTGGGTGGAGAGGTCCTTCCTCAAGTGGAGGAGTTCAAGTATCTCGGGGTCTTGTTCACGAGTGAGGGAAGAATGGAGCGTGAGATTGACAGGCGGATCGGTGCAGCGTGCGCAGTGATGCGGTCTCTGTATCGGACCGTTGTGGTAAAGAGGGAGCTGAGCCGAAAGGCGAAGCTCTCGATTTACCGGTCAATCTTCGTTCCCTCCCTCACCTATGGTCATGAGCTTTGGGTAATAACCGAAAGAACGAGATCGCGGATACAAGCGGTCGAAATGAGCTTCCTCCGCAGAGTGGCTGGGCGCTCCCTTAGAGATAGGGTGAGGAGCTCAGTCACACGGGAGGAGCTCGGAGTAGAGCCGCTGCTTCTCCACGTCGAGAGGAACCAGTTGAGGTGGCTCGGGCATCTGTTCAGGATGCCTCCTGGACGCCTCCCTGGGGAGGTGTTCCGGGCACGTCCCACCGGGAGGAGGCCCCGGGGAAGACCCAGGACACGCTGGAGAGACTATGTCTCTCAGCTGGCTTGGGAACGCCTTGGGGTCCCCCCGGACGAGCTGGAGGAGGTGTGTGTGGATAGGGAAGTCTGGGCGTCTCTGCTTAGACTGCTGCCCCCGCGACCCGGCAA